ACTACCCTTAATCCTCAATGTTTAACATTCCGTATAATTCGACACCCAACAACCGCTACACGACATACGACAAGGAAAATAAAAACCCTTTGCCAAACGATCGAACAGTGTCGTATGAAGTAACGTACTATAAATACAGAGAAAACAACCAACTTAGCAAATTTTGCAACAACGTAATGATCATGCAGACCAACGTTATCAGATGCGGTTAAGCACTTTTTCCCTGTGTCTTTTTTCACGTAAGATTGAAATTTTTGGGGCGCAAAAGGCAACCTCCGAACTGTGACCACTAAGAGGTAATTCTATCTCGTCAATATTTACAGTCTCCCAGTGTTGTCAGAGTCACGAAATTAAAAAAATTACAGATGAAAATTACGACCCGAAAACACGACTTGGGAACAATGCGGCAACTTTGCAGTCTACTCGCAGTCTACTCTAACCACATTGCTCGCCCATTCTAGTGCGTCGTTTTATTTCTTTTTGCTCATTAGCACTGTCGCGTTTTTCTGCTGTTGCTTTTCGTCTGAGGACTGATTTTATTCAGTGGCGTGGCGTGCTTATATAGATGTATCGATTGATATGCCGTTTAAACCCATAGCAAAGGATCGATAAACAGGATGTTCGCGACGAGCACCCTAATAATCGATTCTTTACCGTTCCTTCAAATAGGGAAACATCAATATTCAATCAGTCACGCTTTGCCACTGATTTGTATTGTAGCGATTCGTGCAGCACTTGACGAAATGTGCCCGACGTTTATGACAGGGAAGAGGTCTGCCTGCTAAAAGAGATTGGTCCTTGGCAGACGGTCACTTTTATTCTGAAAATATTTTTCGTCCATCCTTATGAATGACATAAACTAAATAATTGTTTTTATTTAACTTTTCACAAAACTTTAGATCAAATTAATTAACAATGATCGATGAAATGTTCGTTGAGTATTGAATGTGAATGAAAATCCTGATGCAAACTGAGAAAAGTTGGATTTCACGTAAGGTAGAAAACTATTGACTCGGCGCTTTTTCGTTACTGGAGGGGGGGGGTGAAGAAGGTGCCTTAGGGAAACGTCGGATTACTTCACGTCAAATATTAGATGAAAAATAGGGGGAGTTTTATCCAAAAAATCTTGTTCCACTTGTTATAACTAAAAAAAAAAAAAATAATAATAATAATTGCAGTGTTCTCAGAGCTAAAATGCTTCTATTCTCAAAGTTAAAACGTCAAGTTGAACTCTAGGAAGGACTCCATTGGTATTCAGAAGTTGCCTCAAGCGGTATATGAGTTACTAAAGCAAAGGAAACAAAAACCAGGATAAAACAAACAAAAAGATCATAAGAATTAAAACCAAGTGGACAGGTTTAAATCAAATGGATCAATATTCATCATGACATGAGCCTTATCATGTATGCATTCTCGAGGATCACAAGGCCTCTGTAAGAAGGAACGTAGTTCTTTTTGATATAAATACGCCCATAAAATGCGATTGGTATTGTAAATATTTGGGAGGACTTAAATTTAAGACCCCAGCAGCCTGATTGTTGAAATTATGTGTTTATCGGGTGGAAATGGATGACATAAGAGCATTCCAATGTCGCTAACCCTGCAAACATAAACGATCATCTAAACTAGTTTCACCTCTACTCCCGGTAAACTATGAATTCAAGACGAAAATTACCGTCACAAAGTTTACTTTTTGCAAAGAATGTACCTAAGTTGCACAATCCCAGCAACATTGAAATGCTCTTAGTTCCTTTTTGCAAAATGCGATCCAATTGGTTGTTGCTGCAAAAAAATAGTTTCCCACAACCTGCTATACAATGCTCCAGTGACCATGTAAGTTGGCCCGAGCACTAACTTTTCGGGAAGAAAGCCTTTCCCCTACCTGGTTTCTCACTTAATATCCGCCCGAGTTTCGCATATCTTCCGTTTCTCCTCATCGCAGCTTCCGTCAAACCGCAATTGCCCGGAAACTAGGACCGCACATCTTATCTGATAAAATCGTTCGCCCTTTCGACCGATTCTGGGGGCTTAGGCTAGACTAGTCGATGAGTCATCTAATTTCATTACGTGAACGTAGAAGAAAAACGGGGTAAAAAATCACTAATGCGTGATCAATTTTCAAGGACAATTCTGTAATTTCTCCTACGATTTTAAATAGATTAAAACGCATAATATCCAAAATCTAAGCTCAGATTCGGATTCCTCATGAAAAACTGTTGCGATTTCATGCATCAAATTTTAGAATAGCGTGAAGGAAAGAGGTTTAATGACGTAAAAAATCACTAATGTGTGATCAATTTACAAGGTCAATTCTGTAATTTCTCCTACGATTTTAAATAAATTAAACGCGTAATATCGAAAATCTAAGCTCAGATTCGGATTCCTCGTGAAAAATTGATGAGATTTTATGCATCGTATGTTAGAACTTCTTCTAGAAGCTGACTTCGGATGGGAAGCTGGATCAGGCCATTCGGGACCGTAATCTTCTAGGAAGGAAAGCCATCGCCATGCTTAATGGGATCCTTTGGGACCTATGGCAGTGAAGTGTGGCAGTTGCAGAAGCGGACCCAAGAAATGCTCAAGGCGACCGAGATGGATTTCTGGCGAAGATCGGCTGGAATCTCGAGGAGAGAACGTGTCAGGAATGAACGTGTCCGAGAGATAATGGGCGTTGAGGGGACAATTGTGCACGATAACATGACCAAGCAATTGGTATGGTATGGGCATGTGCAGAGAATGGCTGATACCAGGTTGCCGAAGAAGGTGTTGGAGTGGGTCCCCCCAGGTAGACGACGGAGAGGGCGTCCAGCCAAACGGTGGGTAGAGGGCATCCATGAAGAGATGGAGAGATGCCAGCTTCCGGAGGATCTCTACCATGACAGATTCCTGTGGAGAATAGGCATCGCAGAGCGCCCTAGCGCGCCGTAAAAGCGGCTCATACATACATGTTAGAATACCGTGAAGGAAAGAGGTTTAATGACGTAAAACAACACTAATGTGTGATCAATTTTCAATGACAATTCTGTAAATTCTCTTACGATTTTAAATAAATTAAAACGCATAATATCCAAATTCTAAGCTCAGATTTGGATTCCTCGTGAAAGATTGATGAGATTTCATGTATCTTATGTTAAAATAGCGTGAAGGAAAAAGGTTTAACGACGCGTATAGATTCTGTCGTACTTCCCCTTTGGACTACGCCGCCGCCTGTCGCCCGAGTGAAACCGAACGAGGAGGCGCCACTTAGCGCCGGCTAAGCGTTCGGTTTCGTCGCAAGGAATTCCTCAAGATAAATTCTTATTCTTCCTCCTCCGCTGACCCACTGAGCACTACCCATGTTGCCACGTTGCATTTATATGCTCGAATCAGTATGCCTACGTTACGTTTCTTTCCTTCACGCTATGCTCGAGTATGATACATGAAATTGTATCAATTTTTAATGAGGAATCCGAATCTGAACTTCGATTTTCGGTATCACGCGTTTTAAGTCAAATTTTCCAAATTCGAAAATCTGAAATGACTGAAGTGGCTTAAAATGCCATCTCGGCTCCTGTTCGATGGATTGTCCTGAAATTCGGTGTCAGGGTATAATACATGAAATCGCATCGATTTTCAACGAGGAATCCGAATCTGAGCTTCGATTTTGGGGATCACGCGTTCTAAATCAAAATCTGTCAAAATTCAAAAAATTCAAAATTCGAAAATCCGAAAATCCGAAATGGCTTAAAATGCTTTCTCGGCCCCTGTTCGCTGGATTTTTCTAAAATTCGGTGTAAGGAGGTATTTTTCGACGGGAAACTCGAATTTTTAGTCCATTTTTTTAAAATTCTCGAATTCAAGATAGCGGACGTGGGCTAAAATGCTATCTCGGTTTCTGCTTGTTCGAGTCTTGTGAAACGCGGTATCACGCGGTATTTTTCAACGGAAAACTCGAATTTTTAGTCAATTTCTTAAAATTCTCAACTCCAAAATGTTGCGGATGTGGCCTAAAATGAGCCTCGGTTCTGGCCTCCGTTTCTGTTCGTTAGAGCTTTGTGAACCGCGGGATCAGGGGTACTTTTCGACGGGAAACTCGACTTTTTAGTTGATTTTTGAAAATTCTCAAATCCAAGATGACGAACGTGGCCTAAAATGCTATGTCGTCTCCTCTTCGATGGATTTTTTTGAAACTCGGTGTCTGAGGGTATTTTTCGACCGGAAACTCGAATTTTTACTATGTTTAAAAATTCTCAAATCCAAGATGGCGGACGTGGCCTAAAATGCTATGTCGGCTCCTGTTCGATGGATTTATGGCGCCCCCTTACTACATGCCTACTCTTGTATTTCTGTACAGCCGCAAATTTAGGGTCAAGGGGCGCCTGACCGTCTATGGACCAGGTGGAGTTTTTGTCCTGAAAATTTACCTTTAGACAGCAATTCTCTTTATATTTTGTCTATGGTTTTTATGCCCCCCCTTTCTCGCGGACTCTCTTTTCACTTTTCTTGCCTCCTTTTTCCTTCCATTTCCCCCCTTCTTCTGTGCTTTCACTGCCCAACCTTGTTTCCTTTTCCTTTTTCCCCCTTGTCCTTTCTTCCCTTTTTTTCCGTTTCCTTTCCCCCTTTTTTTCCCTCTCTTCTTCTGTCGTGGCGCCCCCAAAGGCTGGCGCCCGTGTGCGCCGCACGCCCTGCACATGCCCTAAGTCCGGGCCTGATGACATAGGTTAAATGGCGAAGCGTGATTGGTCGCCTTTCTCCAATCGTTTCTTTGTCATGCTTTGTCGGTTGATATGGACGATAAACTATCGGCACTTGTTGAGTATTCGACAGTATGTTGTCCATTTGAACCGACAAAGCGGGACAAAGAAACGATAAGACATAGCCGACCAATGACGCTTTACCCTTTAACCTATGTTATCCATTTCCTCCAGACAAACACAAAATTTCAACAATGAGGCTGCATGCAGAGTGGTGGAAGAAAAGAGTAGAAAAAGTGGACTAGGGAGAAATGGGAGGAGGCTTACCCGTTCAGGGAGGACGAGTTGACGAAAGTGATGGAGCCGAGGCTGTCCCTGCTGAGGAAGTCGTCAGCCATGGCAACTTTGAGCTGGTGGCCGAAGCTAGCCATGTCGTCTCTGAATACTTCGCTAGCTGGCGTTAAGGCACCGGTCGTCGGAGGGGGGTCCAGGGAGGCAGAGCCCGAAGCGGAGGCGGCGGGGTTGAGCGAGAGGGGGGCGAGCGGGGAGGCCTCGACAACAGGCCTCTTCCGCGGGGGTCGCGGAGGCGGCGCCGAGTCCTCACTATATATGTACAGGTAGGCGAGAGTGAGGTAGACGACGGAGGCGATGAAGGAGGGGATGGGGATGGCGAGGGCGTAGAGGAGGTGCCGGTAGACCTGGAGCATGTCCAGTTGGGTGATGACGATCCCCGGGTCGACCGTGCTGTAGAAGCAGGAGAAGTTGGTGCCCAGCTGCGAGTAGTTCTTGAGGAACACGGTGCAGTTGAGCATGGGCGGGTAGCCGCAGCCCTTGACGTTGGGGAAGAGCTTGGCGCCGACGAAGAACCACTCGGAGTCGCTGGGGTCGGCCACGTCCGTCGTCGTGGGCGGGGTCTCCTCGTCGGGGTCCGGCGCCGGGAGCTCGTGGCCGAGGATGTCCGAGTAGTCGTAGTCCTGCATGCTCAGCAAGCGGCGACGCCGCCGCCGACGCCGGTCCAGGAAGTTGTTGTCGAAGGCACTTTCGGGAGTGGTGGGGGTGGCGGTCGGGGGTGGGGGTGTGGGCGAAGGCTTTGTGATCTTGTAGTTGACGCGGATCTGGGTGCACTCGTAGACCTCGCGGGTGCAGCCCTCGCGGCAGGAGGTCCAGGAGCAGTTGGAGACGCCGCGCATGCGCTCCACGTGGCGGGTCACGCACATGGCCGGCGTGACGTCGAAGGCGGCGAAGATGGTCGTGAAGGCGGGCTCGATGACGAAAGGCACGAGGAAGAGGAAGCCGAAGAGGCTGAAGATCCCGAGGAGGATGAAGAACCCGGTCGTGTAGAAGAGGAGCTTTTCCTTGCTGGTTGGCGGCTCTGGGGGCTTGCCAGCGGTCGACTCCCCGGCCATGCCGCCCCAGCCTACCTAGGCCGCATGCCCACCACCTGTCAACAGAAAACAACCGTCCACAGTAAATACAACCGTCCACAGTAAATACAACCGTCCACAGTAAATACAACCGTCCACAGTAAATACAACTTCACTCAAAACTCTCGACCGTCTACAACTGGATTGCACTTTCCACCCAAGGAACCAGGAGCACTCCAATTCACTAACATTGTCCAACTTTATTTACCCTCCAAATCTAAACTCATTATCTATACAAATTTTATCTTTACCCTCAGTATATACTATGCATTCAAGAGGACAATTATCCTTGTAAATATGATTTCCTTTCATTATTTCAGTGATTTTGTTGCAAAGAATGTATGTTGCACAATCCTAGTATAACATTGGAATGCTCTCGGTTCCTTTTTTGCAAAATGAAATCCAACTCGTTCTTCTCCTCATCAAAGAACGTAACTACATTTCAATATTCCCACATTTCCTCGCCCTAATTCCCTTTTTACGAGGGGAATCTTGGGGATATCTAAATGAAAATTACACTCATTTGTCTTCGGATCTTGTGTGATTATCAAAAAAATTTTCCACGAATATTACGCAGGCACATTCTTGTAAAAAATTGAATTCTTTGAGTGAATTTAGCAACCCTGGAATGGAGTCACGTTCCTTCGTCCCGGAGACGACGAATTGAGGGGGTCGGCGGCCAAGTGGAATCAGTGCAATTCTTACTATTTTAAGATATACGCTTACAAAGTTTCAAAATTACTTGGAGTGCTATGACAAACAAAAAGTTCAAACTCATTTTTTGATACTTCAAAATTGGATTTCAGAGGTGAATTTTTCACAGAATATATTTTACGACGAGTTTAATTTGAATTTATTAGTATCTCAATTGGACGTATTTATGCTAAATGGAACTATGTGCAAGTGGGAAGATGGGGTGTGCTCGTTAGTGGTCGGGCCATAAGAATGAATGAGAAATATAAAGCGCCAGTGACGCCAGCGGTAACGACGAGAGAAACGACGATCAACGACACGGTCATAAACTTATGAGCCCTGTCCACAAGGCTCTTGTCACATGCCCACGGCTCACGCGTTAGCGCTTAGTTTCTTTTGTTTCAATTGAAAATCCTGCTTTTCCATTTTCTTACGAGGAACTATATTCACTTTCACATTGTTTCTTATGCAGCTTCCAAAAGCACATCCCATTAATCCACTTGTGCATAGTTCTTTTTAGCATAAATACGTCCAATTTTGAAATCCCACTAGCCTTCCGAGGCCCTCAATTACTATGAATACACGCCTTGGTGCTACACGAGTCGAATATCTTGAAAACCATTTTGAAAAGTTTGTGAAAAAGAACTTACTTTCTGACATCATTTCTTCGGATTCGTATAATTCAAACCACAGTTACTCCAATTTAGTTTAAAATTATTGGGCACTTCCTATTCCAAAATATTTATTGGTTATTCTCTATGTTCTGATCTCATCAATTTAATTTCGAGTTTTGAGTAGACTGAGTCTTTCTTCCCGTGAGCGGTGCATACCAATAAAATGCTTTAGTTTCCTCCGTGAAGGAACAACGTTGAAATAATGATTGAAAGCAAGTTCTACGAAGAAATTATAGGCGTAATCTAGACTGTGCCAAGACATGCAAGAATAATTACAAAATATTCAAAACACTGCAAAACGTTCGAGCTTTTCACCGCTATGCTGAGGTAAAATGAGGGATAAACATTCAAGCGTTGCCAGCTTTTGCATGATGATAGAAAGGTTTTAGAATAATTTAGAAATGTTTCTCTTTGAATTTTTCGAAGCATTGTATTTAGAATGTAAGTAAGCATCACTAAAAATGTCTAGTAAGACTATTCAAAACTTGATAGAGAAATAAGGATTTTATCAGGAGAAATTTGGCAACATTCGAACGTACATACGACGTTTTTCCTCAGCACAGCGGCTCGAGCCGAGGAGAGGAAGTCTGATCGTAGGGAAAGGAAATGCGCAGGAAAAGCTAGGAAAGTGAAATAATTGGCAAGAAAACAAGGGAAAACCAAATGAGCATTCACGCGAATTAGCCACTGCATTCTGCATTTTCACGTCTACCTCCCGTTCATGAACCGACGCACGGTAGATTAAGCTACAGGAAAACTTTGGACGGCCTGTGGAACATTTAAAATCTTGAAGTTTCGTCAATATGAAAGGTACAAATTTAAAAGTGGTACCATTGATTATTTCATTTGTAAAAGCTTGCATGAAAAATAATGTGAGTAAATAAACATCAAAATTCGTATTTTTAGTCCAGAATCTCATGTCCGCGACATCACCCAAAAGCTTTTTTTATTGTGCGACGGGAAGCAATGAACGCGATAATCGTCTGCGTGATTGCGGTTAGTATCCAGATTAACTAAGAATGCAGAAAAAAGTACCACTGCAGACCATAAAAACAGGTCCCTTGCGTGTAACAGCGTTGCCCAGTTTTTTTCTATTCACTACATTTTTTAAAAGAATTCTAAATGCGTAGACGGCTATCAGCGGCAGCCTTCACTGAAAAAACGTATAGTTTGAGCTTCAAAGATATACCTAGTATGATGTTCATCAACAGACTAAATGCTAACGAAGACCGTACATCTATGTTCATTCACCAGGATTATAGTAAATACTACCAGAAGTCTGGTAAAATTTACCCTACAGTATTACTATTTTAAAAAATCAATGTTTGAATGTGATCAAAACTTGTGGAGTTTTTTGGCCCCAAAGGCCGCTTTGCGACCAGCGAAATTGTCAAAATCGCCCGTTTGCGGTTAATGAGCAAATCATTTTAATTGAAAAACAATACGATTTTCAAGGAAAAATTTCCCGCCAAACAATATTCTAGATGACTTTCTCCTTACTCCGAATTTTGATTCCTTTTTTGGAAGTCGACCTTGACAGGGTCACATATAGCTGACCATCACTAAATAAAGGCCTCTGAAAGTAAAAACCCACTCTATTAAAATTCTGACCTTTGAACTCCCCTTCCTCACTCCTGCCCATCAACCGTCTTAAGCCACTGCCTCACCCTGTCCATCGAGCGTTCTTAAAAATGATTTTATTAGAATAGAGAGGATATACTGTCATGCTAAGGAGGAACACCGTATGAGCCTTCACACGTTGCCAAGTCTCCTTTGATAAAAACCGAATTTAGTAGAAAAATTGTGAAAATTTTTTTTCCAAAATTTTTAGACAATTTTGGACGCAATTTAATCTAAAATATCTGAAAATTTCAGGGAAAAATTTGCATGAATGTCATCAAAAATTCATGTTTCATCAAGTGAAATTTGGCCACTCTCGAATGTTCATACGTCGTTCTTCCTTAGCACGACCGTTTACATTGTCTTAAAACGTATCGATTGAGGAATCCGTCAGGAATAAGTGAGAATTAAAATTAAGGTGCAATTCAGTCGTTCCCACATTTTCTTTTTTACAAATTAGAATATTATAATGCTCTGCTTAACGGTGTCACTTGTGCATCTTCACTTCGTGAAAGAAAAGCAATTAACTCATCCGGCAAAAACTTTTAAAGACTGTTGATGGAGAACAGGAAAAGTTTCGGCGGAATTCTTGTGGGTGCGAAAGAAACTTAACCGTAAAAATGCAAAGTAGCTCTTGATGAGCACTGCTTAAAACTATGGCGATAATTGCTTCCTTCTTAAATTCAGGATTCTCGCGTCACCTTAATGACTTGGAAATCCACAAAGTTTCCTGACGTTAGATTGACTGAATTGAAGCGGATTTTGAGAGCGAAGAATCTGCTATTGCGTTGACCTGGTTATGAATTTAACTTCGAAATGCAATTTTGATATTACAGATCGTCAGTAAGAGGAGGGGATGGATTCGATCGACATGAATTTATTGATCGAAGAATGAAAACGTGAATCCATCGACAAATTATTAAAAAAACGGTGTCGATTCGATCGACATGAATCGATCGAAAAATGAAAAAGTGAATCCATCGACACCGATTCAATCGAAAAATGAAACAAGTTGGATTTTGCAATCGCTAGCGATATCAATATTCGTCATGGGAACGTTAGCTTCTGGGATATGAAAATGTTAAGGTACACTTCGTTTGTAGTATCTTCTGAATTGAAGGGGCTATGTAATTTTGTGTTGACATCTCTTTTTTAACATTTTTAATTATTTTCTTTGCATACAAGAAAGCTGTTATGTACCAATTATTTATTTTCGTTGAATTATATATGGTTTTCGGAAGTTAACGCATTTAAGTTTCAGGTTCGCGTTTTCGGCGTAAAGTATACGTAAGGTGTCCCAAAAGCACCGGGACTTGTTCTGTAACTTCGAAAGTAAGATAGATACAGACATGATCTTGATTTCATTTTAAAGATCAACTCAATACCTATCGATTAAAACCAAGATCAGCTCAATCGGATAAAAATTGACCGAGTTATGGCACTTTGAAATCAGCGAGGAAAGTTTACGCCTACGGTTTTTAAGGAAGATTCTCCATCGCCGTAAATCGAAAAGTCGGCCGATAAAGTGATGCTTATTGTGTTTTTTTATTTTCGAGGTGTCATTTATCAACATTTTGTACCATCAAACACAACAGTTGACAGTGCGTATTATTGCAAAGTAGTAAAGGAGTTGAGAATGCACATTTCCCGGAAACCGTCGGACTTGAAAGCTCCGTGGATACTCCATCAAAACAATGCGCAGCCTCACACATCGAGCTTAACACGTGAATTTATGAGTAAAAATGGAGTTGAAACAATCCCTCATCCCCCTTATAGCGCTGACTTGGCTCCATGTGATTTTTGGATGTTTCCCACGCTTAAAAAGGAGCTTCGCGGACGAAGATTCGTATCGAAGACCGAAATCCAGAATGCAATTCAAAACTTCTTCAACTCCATCCCAGAGGAATAATTCAGGAAAACAATGTTGGATAAGTGGCAAGAGCGCATGAAAAAGTGCATCCGGTTTGATGGACGGTACTTTGAAAAGCAAAAGGAAGTTATGGAAGATTCGGAGGAAAGTGGATACGAAT